TTGCCTATTCTGAATTAAAAAAGAGTTTCACGATAAGATCGAAGATCGTAGGTTAAATGTACCCTTTGGGAGGCACAGGCGAGACCCCCACGAGTGCTGGCCCACTCCCAGCGAAGAAAATGCCCCGGCAACTTACTATGGACACACTCGCCCCGCTCGTATCACGGCACGCCCATTTCTCACCGTCTGACTCTAGCCGTTTAGCAGAGAGAGCGTTAGCGTTGAAGAGGGCAGCACCGATGAGAGTCGCATCAATGCGAAATCAACGGGCAAGGAAGAGGTCCCATTTCTTGGGTTCTGGACCATTTCTCGTGGTTTTTACTTCATCTCGGCACCAATGACCACATCCCTTAACTATGTAAATCTCTCTCTGTAAATGTAACTCTGTAGATGTAACTCTATACTTCTGACAACATGCTTTCTAATCCTAAACTCCGTCTATAGCGCTAAGATGGATGGTAGATGCTGGAAGCAGGACTTCGAGGAAACAAGAGCCTTTAAAAATTGACCTAGGCCATTATCCCCATCTCTTATGCAAAGGACAAAACAACGAAATATTGATCAATCATTTTTGGGAGGCGCCATGCACACCACTTCCTCGCCTGGATGCAATAGCACCACACACTTGTTTTCTGGACGAATCGATAAAGAAATAAATGATTCTAGCTTCCAAGTCAAAACCTGTGCCAACTAAGTGATCCCGAAGGAATGCAGTAGAAAGCTGTCCTGAATGCGTTCGATTCTGAGATTTAATCCTCGGCTCGGCGTGTGGCAAGCATAACACATGTCAATCACCACCTCCACTACACCATTCACAAGTTCTTGTGTGATATATATTAACCAGATTAGTCCCCCGTCAACCGCCGGGACCTTCCTTTCCTGCGCAAGCTTTCTATCCTCCGCTATGGTCCCTTCCTCCTGTGACACCAACACTCCTGGAAGTGACGCGCGTATGCAACACAATGGTGTTTCATACAGTAGAAGGGACACAATGATATGACGGTAGATTTTTCGCTTCCCTTCCTCATCCTCCCTTCCTCTCTCCACTGCCCTCCAGCTGCCACTGCAGCACCATGTGGAATGAACGGAAGTGTGCTAAGCAGGTGTTTATATAGCCCTAAGAGTGTTATCACAACTATCCTGCTACAAAACATTGATATCTCAAATCCTGTAAGCTACCCGATTTGTTAGCGGTTTGTTTATCCCATGAGCTTCCTTCTCACTCACTTCATTTTGCGGACGGACACACATACATACACACACACACACACACACATACAGATACAAACCGACACACAAAGTTAGCGCTTTATATAATAGAAGGATATTTAGAGTGAAGCATTCTTCTGCTAGGTAGAAAACACTAAGGTATGCATGTTATTATGCCATGAGTCGAGCAATGAACGTTACGGAGGGAACGTGGGGAGAAGTTTTTTTTTTGTCTTTCTGCGTGGGGTGCTGAAAATGGAGTGGAGTCGCTAGCATTTTCGAAAAGGATCAATGATTATGCTTGGAGAATTGGAGAATGGAGGGAATTTCACGGTTTGGAGATCTTGCTGTAGACGAGTATGTCCATTATCCTCAGCTTGTCTGAATTTAAGAAACGCTGGGATAGAGCTAGTAAAGGCTAATGTGAGAATAATGGACGAGATTCCTCGCGCACACCACATGGAACGTAACGTGGACCGCAACGGCTGATTCCAATACACGCGGGTTAGTGCAGCCGTGGAGCAAGCCAGCTCAGACAGCTCATCCAGAACGCTACTCCGCATTTCGAGAGGGAAAGGAAGGGGAACCCTGCATACGCCTCATTGGCGGTCTGCGCTTCTTTTTTTATTGTTGGCTAAGTTGGCATCCACAACGACATTATCGACCACTGTTACCTCACCAATTTGATGGTTGCTTGTGGTTGCTGCTTCAAAGGCACAGCCCTGGCAGAGGTCGTGTGAACGCTTCCCTTTAGTACGTCTGTAGTGTAGACCCCTGGACGGCGATAAGATGTGGCGTTCCTGTGCAGGGAAACCAATCCGACAAGAGCGCTTGGGCCTCGCAAAAAAGCTGCTGACGCTGCACATTTTTTGCCTTAAAGGACGAATTCACGCTGGAAAGGCAACCCATTTCAAATTAACCTAGCGATGGTGAGTGGTACACTAAAGAAGGAAAAACCATGAGAAACGGCCCAGAACCCGAGAAATGGGACCCCTTCCTTGCCCGTTGATTTGAGCATTGATGCGACTCTCATCGCTGTGCCCTCTTCAACACTACGCTCTCTCACCTATCTAATCACTCGCCACGTATAGACCTGCGGCGAGTGATCAGATGATCGGTGGGCGTGCACTGGCCCACCGCGCCAAGATTGAGCCTTAATAGGTCGCCGAGGTCAACTCCTTCGGTGCCAATTGCGCTTCAGTCCGCACCCTCAGGAGGTCCGCGGGTCCCTCAACTAGGTGAATTACTCCTTCTTCGACCTTCATTCTAATCGTGAATTCGTCCTTTAACAACTGGCGCCCTCTCATCTGTAGTTCTCGCCTCACACTCACTCCACGCGCACTCTCCCATTCTCTTACGTTAGCACAGCCGATTACAAAGGTGAGTGAGCCCTTAACCGAAGCGTTTTCGACGGATTCTTTTCCTTTTTCTTTACTGCCAGCCCATTCGCACTCGTGTGCAAGAGCCACTCCAATGTGATCCTGGGGCATGCCTTCAAGGAGGTTACTTGGAACACCTGGAGAAGGGTTGTTGAGAAGTCCCAGATAGAACCCAAGTAGGGTGGAGGGAGCTCATTCAGTCGAACCTCTGTCAATGATAAGGCATACTGGGTACGGTAGACTGCATCATCACAATGTGTAGCTTTTCTGAAGACTAGGAGATTGTAGGGGCGCACTTCGCGTTCAGCTGCTGATTGTGAGGGAGCCTACCACCTCCCCCAGGCTTATCTACTTTTGACTCGGAAAAGGATGATTTCGCCAATCGTCAGGATATCTCGGTATTGCGGAAAAATGTATCGCAGCAAGAAGTTGCAACACTGCTACTGGTTTCTTAGTAACCTGTTAAACCCAACCATCCCTCCTCTTACCCCTTCTGCACACTTCTAGGAGCAGTCCGAAAAACCCCCTAACATCACCCACACTACACTAAAGAAGGATTCCACGATATCGTCGAAGACCGAGGAATGGGAAACTTTCCTAGTGGTTAGACAGGCGATCCCCTAAGGGTGCGGACCGACACGCAATTCGCAGCGAAGGATATGCCCCGGCGATCTAGCATGGCCCTCCCGCGGCGCTATCGACGCGGCACGCCCACCGACTGGCTAACCACTCACGCAGGTCTCTAGCCATTTAGCAGAGAGAGTATTAGCGTTGAAGAAGGTAACACGGATGAGAGTCGCACCAAGTAGGGAATAAGTGGGCCAGGAAGTGGATGCCATTTCTCGGGTGGGGAGTTCCTCATGGTTTTTTCATCCCGGCATCCTGACCACTCCTATCTTGAATCTACTGAGCTGCCTTTGCATCCGACTTCAATGAGAGAACGAATGCTACAGTTTCTGCACAGCAAAATGAAATTGTTGGTTCTTAAGAAATATAAATGAACACAAGAGACTCTGGTTACCACTACTACCACGTAACACACCACAACATCTCCTTCTCTGAAAATTAGCAGACATCGAGAATTATCGCAGCTACTTTTCAATAGCCCGACCTCATTGCCATGCATTATGTCGGGGATGGCAAGTGTAGTAGGCAAGTGAAAACGATTGCCGTAACCCAAACCCATCGGACGGGATCGTGATCTATGATGGCGTCAATGCGAGTTAGCCCTCTCGCCGTCAGTTTGGAATCGCTGGAATCGCTTTGAGGAATATTGCATGATAGAAGTTCGGTGGAGATCCTTGTGGTGGTAAGCTCCCTGTGGTTACCTACATTTCCATAGATACCCAATTGGCAGAATCACTATTCTGGAAAGCTTACTTAGCGGTTTTAGATGTTCTGGCAAAAACAAGCATTTACAAAAAAACCGACGTTCATACTGTATGGTCTTGGACAGTGACCCGTTCGCGATCCCGTCTGCGTCTCCGCCTTTTCGCCGCACAACCGCTCTCCTGTCGGGTACCCCGGAAGGATGTAAGTGATGTCGCTTACCAGGCGCACGGTCCGAGGATCGATTTCTAGGTCATATGCCGTCCAAATCAACCAAGCCATCTCCCGGGGTCGCTCAACTGGCGCTATGCTTGTTTGGTAGGACAAAAACACTTACTTTTACAATGGCTGTCACTGCCTAGCTCAAATCGCATTTAAATACCACTACGACCCTGATCCTGAAGGGAAGTAGAATGCGCGGGCACAACGTCAACGTAGAACCCTTTAATCTTCATCAGGCGCTATAGTATGCTCATCCCACACTCCCATCCGTAGAATGATCCAGTTTCGTTTCCCTTGGAAGGGCGCTGACATCAATTACTCTCAAGCAGAGGTAAAACTTGAATGTTTTATGAAGGTTACGCATGGCACAAAGAACAATGGACCCAGTTATTGTTGGAGCAGTGAGGGGGCATATCATATATGAAAACCATCATATTAGCGTGAGCAAACACGTACCCTACCGGACTAACTTTGTGAGAAAGCTGGCATGTCGAAAAACTTCTTACATGATAACCTTCATTCAATAAAACATGCTATTTAACATTGAGCATATGTATGTATAAGATATGTGAATAGAAGTTTTGGAATTGTATAGTTATGGCACTGAGCCTAGCACGAGAAGATAAACTACAACTAAATATTCACGATAAACAAATTCACGAGTTCACCTAAGATCTCTAATGCACCCTTCTCCTCAAAAATCACCTTTCTTTTGACTATAACCTAATTATGTACTGTATTAGTATACCATTAAGCAATTACATAGACAACAATTACGCAAGTGATAATGTGTGTTAATTTGGCGTAAAACAACTACAGTGAAAAGAGATTCTAGGCACTATTCCTATAACAATAAGGCATTCACTTCAACTGCGCTAGCATGGCTGATGGGTGCTCCACGTAGAACTTCCACCTAGACACTCAACCATAATAAAAAACAAGCAATTTTTCAGAAAGAAAAAGAGTAAATAACAGACCTGTTGCTGAAGCGAGCCATTGTGGCGCCGTCGACAACACGATGGTCGGCACACCACGAAACTTTGAACATGTTCATCGGAACAAGCTAAAGTACGAATTTGCTCGCTTTGACTCTTAACAAATTTAGCGCTAACTCCAAATCACTTCCATAACTTACGTTGTCATCCTCATCGTATCGAGGCAATTTTTCAACTTTGCCCAAAGCACCAATTGCTACTTGTGGAGGGAAAATCACAGGGCTGACATACGTTCCACCAATCTAAAAATAATTAAATACTCCATGTGATGGCAAACACCAAATACTTACAGTCTATATCCGAAAGTTGGGGTAGGCGTGTCACCGGAAGTGACGTGCACTTGATAGAAGTTGCGTGGATAAGCTGTTGCCAGCATGCTTTGCTGATATCCAGCGATGTATGTTGGAAGCAGCTTATCCACATAGCTTCTATCAAGTGCACGTCACTTCCGGTGACACGCCTACCCCAACTCCCGGATATCGAGCGTAACTGTTCAGCAAAAAGAGCAAGTTGCGCAAAAATGATACCGTTCCAATGTTGCTGATGGTAAACGTTCCACCAGCCAAATCCTCGCGGGCGATCCGCTCACGCTTGCCGTCTTCCTGTAACCGCTGAAGTTCGGCAGCAATTTCCAATATCGACCTGAAACAAAATCTTGAATTACCCTCATGCATATAAACCACCAAACATGGCAACCTAAGTATCCAGTAAATAAGTTCAGTTCTGCATCAAACTTGAGCTGGAACAGATGAGACCAATTAGGAAAAATGGGAGCACTGCCTAAAGAGAGAGAGGAGAGGGAACGAGAGAGAGAATTAGAGAGAGATAAACTTCCAATAAACGACAACGCCCATTTTGCTGGGGCCATACCCCGGAATTGTACCATTTTTGCGCGCTTAAAGCACCTATTTTCTAGGAGATGCTAAGGGGCACACAGAAACTGGCCACCTTCAACTAACAATTTGGTGAGAAATGAGAGGTTGCATGCTAACAGTAACCAAACTGTGGCTATAGTTGAAGAGTACGGGATTAAATCTGAAGGGTGTTTAAAGACTTCGAGGAAAGGCGAAAGGAGGGTTGTTGACTAGGAACTCTCCTCCCTTTTCCTTATATCTTTCAGTGAATTGGACGCAAACTGTATTAGTGCCTCATTCATTACTCTTGACAATTATTAAATGTCGTGACTTGCGCGGACGAGTAAACCGCGCACTGGTTCCCGAAATACTAAAGCTATAATATGAATAACTGTCACAGCCGTAATGTCTATCAAAACGGGGCATAAAAAATGAGCAACCTCTGGGCAGTTCTCATTTCCTTGTAAAGCCTCAAAGTTTTCGTCATCTGCTCTACAACCGCAGCACACATCCATCTACCCAAGTTCATTCATATTAATTAAAAGGGCGAACAATGAGAATTCAATACCTCTGCTCGCAATTCTTGATGTTTGGCACAACGAGACCACCAGGTGTGTCCATAGCGAGGCAGATGTTGTGAGATGCCTAAATATGAACAAGCATGCCTGAACAAACAAGCCAGAAGAAATATGTGCTCCAAGAAGCACTCACTTTGTAGATCACATTTTCAAGTTTTTCGTCAACGGATGCATTGAGCGATGGGTACTCAAGAAGTGCCAACGACGCTGCCTAGAAATACAGTACGCTGTAAATTCTCAAGCCGAGCAACTTCGATATTATGTTAATCAGTTCACCTTAATGAAGAAAGGCATGTAGCTGAGTTTTACATTGCGCTCTTTCGCAAGTTCTTTCAGCTCCTTCCGCACAGCAATAAGCGCATCCGCACAGACCTTTAATATTCAATTATAAAATCGACACTGAGCCAGAAATACATTATCACAAATAAACAAAAGTATAGGAAAAAATTGGTGTATTCGAAATTACGTACCTCATCATCGTAACCAAAGTGAGGGAATTTTCAGCGCCTCCGTCATTGTCTTGATCATTGCACGAGTATACCCACGGATTGGAACAACGCGGTCCTCCGACAACGGAGAAAACTAAACCGAGAAATGAAAATAATAGAATAGATGCAGGAAAACCACTAGATATCCTAACCACTTTAGCTTGAGTTGCAATCGCTGGTGAGTACCGGATATTGGTGGAACCAGAAGTATAGTCTGCAACTGTTGATAACAGCAGATTCCAGCGAAACAAAACAAGAGCTTTGTCTTGAACTCACCTTCTTTTACTTGACCAAGGAATTTGAGAACGTCTTCTTTCAGCACGCGTCCATCTCTCCCACTTCCCTTCACTTGCCTCAGGTCGACCTGAACACCTCAATATAATGGAACTTCAATGACAGAACAGATAAGTAATGAATAAATACATGTACAGTACGTAATAAATACATGTACAGTAGCGGTCAAAGTATCCGCCGTTACTGTTTCTGGTGCATTTCACTTCCTTCGCTTAAAACTTTCTCAGAGGTTAATTAAAAAATTCTGTCAAATGTATCCAACTATCAGAATTTGAAAACTAGAAAAGATAAAGAGATACGACATATCAATAACTGAAGGTCACAGAAATGAAATAAAACAAACTTTGTTCTCCATAGCAACTCTTCGAACTGCCGGAGTGGCAAGCACTTTCCCAGGTGAAGCAGGTGTTGGAGCTTCAGAGTCGGATGAGGTTCTAGGGGCAGTTGTAGGTGCCGCTGAGGGAGCTTCAGCTTTGGGCGCCTCACTCTCATCTGTAACAAAAAATTTACACTAAAAAAGCCGACCGTGGTTCAGGAACATCTCTGAATATGTAGTGGTATTTTTCATATTCTTTGCACACACAACTCTAAAAGTTACTCTATTGGAATAATAAATATCGAATCAACATTACGCGAAAACAGACGGTTGGATAGAATTGGATAGTATCTTTTCCTACAGATAAGGGAATCCTTTGGATTTCTCCCTGGCTGAGAGTAACCCAAGAAAGCTTTGTAGTTGTAGGATACGTGTCAAAAGCAAAAATGTACCGAAATATAGGAATCTGTAGAGGAACCAATTATATGAATTTGGAGAACTTATCGTTCCTTTGTTCCAAGAAAGAAAAACGGTAGCACAACGGCGCTAAAGAGCTAATATTATGAATGGGCGACAACGCGGCGTGCGTCCCTTACATACACTTATGGAAACAAAAAAGGGTCTGAAGGGGTTTCGTGCACCCGCTCCCACATTAGCAGTGATGGAATCTTGACCATTTCGAGATGTTGCTTTACTTTATAGAGCGCTCCCGCTGGAAAGGTTTAAATGGAAACCACTCCCCATGAGCACTCAGGCGGTTTTCGTAGTGTTCGAAGCAAGTAGTAGCAAGTGTCAACATCACACTAAAAGATGCCTATTGACCACTTCATCACTGAAACTTCATGCCTAAGGAAGCCCTTACACCAGCCGTGTTTAACCATCACGACATTCATGATTGGTATATAAAATAGTAATATTACCGCTAACCTAAAAGGTATTTTTGACAACGAACACTTCACACATAGAGGATGAGCTCATTCCCGTGGAATACAAGAACAATCTTGAGCAGTAATTAATGAGAGCCCACATATGCAAAAGACGCAGGTCCGTCAACGGCCAAGCTAGTCCGACGGGATAACATTACAAGAAGAACAATCATCGCTAACTAGTGACTTTCATTTCCTACCAGAAACACAACCCTCATCGAAAGCAATTCTTTCGACAGTAACCCTTAACGCAATGGTTTACAGCAATCGAAATTTATTTCGCAGAGAAAGTCAGGTTTTCAAATTACATGGAAACCTTACCGAAGATGAGCTTCTCCCTTGGGAAATTAACGGCCAGAGACTAGCACACTAGCGATAACATTACCGAGGAAGAGTTAAAGCGAAGTAATTAAAGGAAGCAAGACTGTGCCTGTGGTTATCATATCTGGACCTAATTTAGGAAAAAAAGAAAAAATATAATGGCCAATAAAGAATGAAAAACAAAACAAATCCAAAAACACATTCGAACGTGACCTTTACCAGCTTCCGCTTCTTTAACCCCTCCTTCAACTTCGAAATCTATCAGCGGCTGCCCTACTCGCACTACTTCATTGACGTTATAATATCTAAAAAGACGCGATTTTGAAACCAACTCATGTTTTGATACCTAAGTCCAAAACTAGGAAATGGAAATGGAATATAAGTGAAACTACAGTTTTTTAACGGTGCCATCGAAGCGACTAGTTATAGTGACTGCGGCTTTGTCACTTTGAACTTCACACAAATTGTCAAATTGTGAAACCTTGTCGCCAACTTTGACGTGCCTAAATATTTGCTTTGTTTTCACGGAGCCCCGAATGGTAGGTTAAAGACTAATGTCATTCTTGACTCGCCATTCCTTGATTTGAACTTCAGCAATCCCTTCACCGATATCAAAAAGTTTAAATTGGACAATGGAAGTGCCGGATCCAGAGTCTGACTTGGGAGGAGATGCTACAGGAGCAGGAGTTTCTTTTGAACTTTCTATTATAGAAGCTGCAATAGACTAATCAGCCTCTACTTTTCCCATAGGTGTAGACCAGAAAACAAATCTATATTCGTTCCATTACGGTGGACACGCTGGAGAAACGTGTAAATGGTCTCTTGCGAAGAATTTTTACAAAAAAATGTAACGATAAGTGCGTAAACTATAAGCCCCCGAAGCCAAGGAACAGGAAATAATGTTAGAACTTAATTGATAAATTTCCCATCAAGAATTTGAAGAACCAAGAGGTAAGATAGCGAGAGCTGCGAGCAATATTGAGCAAATCTCAAGGGAAATTAACGAAGCTCAGTGCTTTCAAGATAATTGAGCGACGCAATCCAATTAGTACTGCAAAGAAAGCAGGGCCCCAAAAAATGCGGACAATGAGAATAAAATGCCCCTGTTTGAGAAGTAACGTTTTTAGCATCACCTTTCTTGGGCTCCTCGGAGGTTTCCTCAGCGGCTATTGCTTCGTCGACTTCAATTTCCACTAATGGTTGACCTACTCGGGCCACATCATCGACCTTATAATGCCTAAAAGTGTAGTTATTTACTACAATTCAGCAAAAATTGGTCATAAGAACATCAAACAAGCTTACAGTTTTTTAATAACTCCATCATATCTGCTAGTTATTGTAACAGCTGCCTTATCACTTTGAACCTCACATAAATTATCGAACTGCGAAACTGTGTCACCTTCCTTAACGTGCCTGGAAAATGCCGCTTGAAATGCCACAGAAATGGATTGAAAATAATTTAAAAACATACCATTCTTTGATTTGCACCTCTGCTATTCCTTCTCCTATATCAGAAAGTTTGAATTGAAGATATGGGAAAAGATTGGCCTAGATATTTCATAGTGTTCTGAACGACAAACACACAAACATAAAACTAACGAATTATTAAAAGAAGCATTCGATGTGAGCAAAACAATCTATTCATTCGTTTATAAACTGCAATTTTGACACCAAAACCTCGTGGAGGTGCGCGTGTGGAACGAAAGGAAGTTTCATGTAGTAGAGGCATTGCGTTAATCATATCATGACGGTGGATTTTTCGCCTTGCGAAAAGTTTACGCAGAGAAGGAAGGTCCCGGCGGTTGACGGGGGACCAACCTGGTGTTTTAAGAACTATGTTCCAACACTCGTGAAGCCTCTTGAAAGTCATATAAATCTTTGTTGGATACTACAGGTTTATGCTATGGTAGTTAGGCTGGTGTCAGAGTCCGATCCGTCGCAGGTTTCGCTGATTTCCGCGATTTTCGCGATTCACGCGATTCACGCGATTTGCGCGAAACCTGCGACGGATCGCAAAAATTGCAAATGCCCCATTTGAACATTTGAAACACTGAATATGAAACAAGTGGAATCATGAGCAGTCGTCATTCAGCCATCACTATCAAGCAGAATTGGCGGCAGGATTGGAAGAACACCTTGTAGTATTGATCGGGCACTTGTGATTTCCGGTGACCCGTCGCGTTGAATCGCGACAGTTGTCAAATCGCGCGAAAATCACGGAGACTGCGACCGGTCGGATTATGACAGCAGCTTTAGCGTGAGACTTGCAAAGTTTAGTCCCATCGTGCGATGTGACACGATGAAGTGTTTCACATGACGGTCGACACGGTCATGACAGGCCGTGAGCATGTCTTGACGGTTTGAAATCAGGGAGCTCGGGTCGAAGATTTACCAGTAAGACCCCACATACCCATTAGGGTTCCCCTAATATCTCATTTCTCTTGATAATTCCTATACATTCGCCTACTCCGCACGTTCCCCCATCACGATTTATGCGGGAAATCGGTGAAGAAGATTCCTTTATTAATCCTAGATGTGCACAGTGGCCGCGGAGATCGAAAAGACGATGCCATGTCAATAACATTGCCATCCACGCCTCATTTCGAGCAACCTTTCTCAGATGTCGGTCAGACTCTGCGATTGCATCGCGCGATGCAATCGCTCTAGGCAGAGCGACTACATCGCGCGATGCAATCGCAGAGTCTGACCGACATCTAATAAAAATGACAAAGCCATGGAGTGGAGAGCAGCTATCATTTACACTTACCACTACTTGCTCAATTTGGAGAGAGCGACTGAAAACGAAACAGCAAAAAGAAAAAGAACGGAACCCACCTCGAGATAAATGAATATTCTGAATGCTAGAGAAATGTATAAGCGGTCGAGATAACCGAAGAAGCCGGGAAACAAGCATCCTCTACCAGCATAATAATCTAACGCTACGTCTGAAAAAGTAACTTGAAGATTGTAATCAAAGCGGAAATAGAAAAGAAATCCACCGCATTGAAGAACGCTGTTGATAAATAGGAACTACATCCAGCGGAAGTGTGCACTAGCCTTCGTGATAAGATAAGCGAACTAACACATCTACTGCCTATGTAGCGGTTCCATTACATGAGAAATTCATCGATGCAAATGATAAAGGCCAATGAGGGAAATTGGGGTTACAGTAATTTATAATGATGTCGCTGCGTAGAATGTTTTATAGAATCTCCATAGAATTTTACTGGGCGGTGATGAGAATTTGCGAGAAACTTCTGCATTTTAAATTTCAACTTTGCGTACGGTAGATGTCCGGATGCTGCCAAAGAGTTGCGTCTCTGCTAGTTGAAGATATGAAGTTCTCTCAACATCAGCCAATATGGGAGGGCAACAAAAAAAAACTACGACGACAAGAATTTTTCATATGCTATCGATAAGACAAGAAAGTCAAAGGATCTTAGTAGAACACCTGAGGCCTTCCACAGTTTGCCGAGAGCCAATAGCATAGATTGCCTCAACAGATGATCCAGGCGCCAATGTGAAAACATTGATCTAAACTGGATGCTTCCAACATAACACATTTGCTGACGCTAACCGTTGATGGGTAGATCGGTTGAAGTGGGTCGTATCGCAATCGTTAACAAAGATGAAATCTTATCGGCGATCTTCCCATAAGTACGATAGTAATTCATCATCAAGAACATCTCATCGTCCCTGGAGTCCGTTTCACACGACATGCAAGCCAGAGAGAGTCAGCATTCGCACTATGCAGTTCGGACCATCGTCACCACCAGTGACCAAGCCGAGCATCACTAAAACCTGGCGATCACGATTATCAGCTTTGCTATCCATCCAGCAAGCCTTATAAACTGTTTATTTATTCTGAAGACAACCAACAGACGGAGCCTCAACTGCGTTCACCGAAATGAAGCGCGTTCCTCATGCGTGGACATCTGCTGACAATCCGCTCTCATTGTTCCTTATGTAGGTGCGCGGAGCTGTTTTAGCTTCAATCAAGCGGACTTCTATCGATTACTTACGCACAATAGAGGTTGTATTACAGTAATCCAGATAGTATTCTGATGCTGAAAGTGAAAGCCTATGCCGGACCTGGCTGACCGGCGGATAGAGTGAAAAGAGATTGCTGGATATCACACTTCATATTGAAGTAATACTTGTGGCTTTCTAAAGACGCTGTTGTTTCCACAAATCCCTTATGAACTTGGTAACACAGCCAGAAGATTCACCACATTGTACAGCTACGAAGCATTTCACCCTCGCACGAACTTTCGCAGGTGGAAAACTTGGATCGAAAAGAATAATTGAAAAAGTGTTCTCGCTAATCGGTCATGTAATCGCAAATGGGGAGGAAGGAAGAAGAAATTCCACTGCAGACGCTTTTCAAATTGCTGCCCCTTAGACTGTTTCTGGAGATCGCTATCGCGATCCGCGGCGCACGATCACAGATTTCAAATGTGCCCCGATCAATACTGCGATGTGCTCTCCAATCCCCCACCATTTCTGCTTGACGGTGATAGTTGAATGACGACTCTGTTTATGATCCTACTTGTATCATACTCAATGTTTCAAATGTTCAAAAAGATGCACTTGCGATTTTTGCGAGCCGCGCGATTCGCGCAATTGATCGCGGACTCTGACACCAACCTTACACAACTGAAACGGGAGGATTTCGCAAACTTCTTACAAAAATGTTTCCATCGTAATAACCTCTGAAATGGATGACTATGCTTCAGAGTATGCTGAATTCAATAAAACATGTATCGAGCCGTGAATCCATCACCCTAACGCGGAGCAGCAATTTCCACGAGTGCCCAAAAGTAAATGAAACTGCTCTTACATTTTTGAAATACACTGCAGATTCTGAAGGGCCAGATACTCTTGATGCACTTTCTGTTTTCCTATTGCAAATGACAGCGAATCGTTATGAATTCATCCCAAATGAATATGAATGAAAATGGCCACTCTGTGATCAAACTATCTCTCGACAGTACGCAACTGTTGGAGGATAGCAAAGTATTCGGCATTTGATAGATCTCTCCATATGTCGAACATTCGATCTATATCAAAAATTATAGCAGCGTTCGCCCACAAATCTAGTACCAATTATAGACTCTGAGTCACAGAATATTAGGCAATAAGATGGAACCACAGAGATGGGAGGCCTTCTCCTTTTTTAAGGTGGATATCTATCTCCTATGACTTAAATATACGGAAGAAAAAGATTAAGTCTCATACTGGAAACTAGGCAGTAAAGGCGGCGTGCCGGAGACACTGGCCCGAAAGAAGGTGGGAGGAGTCTCTGAGCGCATGCAATCAAGTGTTCCTTCTTGCTGCCTGCATCTCTCTTCCCATAGTAAGAAATCGGGTATATTACAACTCAAAGTGGAGTGACCTAGGGAACGTTTAATATTTCGGTTGAAAATACATCTGAACGGGAAGAACTCTCGTTCTAATTGGCATCAATCAGAACCTGAGGCTGACAGTAAGTTAGTTGAGGGGCGAGAGACCCCAAACAATGATGAATGACTACGACTGCTTGCACTATAATACTGAAACATTGACATTGTTCCGTGGGCGGAATTCTATTCACTGATTTGACTGGAACGCCGAGCTCCCAGAGATAAGCCATCATTATTTCAGAAGTAACCAAACTCTCATGCTGTCCCTCAAGCACAACACTGTTCCCAATAATGGATCAAATGCGATCCTTTTCCACCCTTCGCGGTACTACAAAAGCCGAAAGCAAGAATATTGACCACAATTAAAACTAGTCTAGAAGTGAGGGCGGGCCAGCAGCAAAAGGTGCCGTTACCATGCAAATGGTCTAACATATTGAAACTCAGAATCAATTCCTGCCTCGACTAACTAGGTAGAAATGATCGGTTGAATGATACAATATCCGGCACTATTGCATTATTACAACCCCAGAGGGGGCCGAGATGGGTCAAAAAATAATTTTTGCTGAAACTTTTGCTATGGGATTATCGAGGGTCCTGATCACGAATATGACATCCTTTTTGGCGCTGACGCCAAATTGGCGCCATATGATTACAACCGAATTCGCTGTAAACTTCTGAATAGGGGTTATTTGGGGCCCTGATCACGAATATGACACTGGTTTTTAACATTCGTGCTGTTTAACGCATATTTTCTGTTTTCTAAGCTTTCTCACCTATAGCGCCTAGGACTAAGCTTAGGGGAGGGGAGTGAAACTCCGGAGTGGGTAAACCACGCACCGTGTGGCAAAAGTTGGAGTGTGTTAGACCACAGGGGAGTGGCCTACTCACTTTGGAGCCCTCCACTATTCAAAGGCTTAGTCCTGATTGCGATCTAATTAGTGCGAGGGCGCAGACGAGCAGGAAGCAGGCGCCGAATAGCGCTAACGAATGTCATATTCGTAATCAGGACCCCAAATAACCCCTATACAGAAGTTTACAGCGAATTTAGTGGGAATCAGTTGTGGCGCCACCTGGCGCCAAATGGCGCCAGCGCCAAAAATGAATATCATATTCGTGATCAGGACCCTCGATAACCCCATAGCCGAA